CAAACCATAACGTCTGTATTTATGTTGAGGAATCGAATCACTCCATTCTGAACGGTGGTGCGAGGAGCGGAATTGGATTTCGCAACCGTCGGCATGGAACCCAAAGGTGGCTTCAACCGCGAGGGGTGAAATAAGTTCTTGTATTGTCACATGACTTTGATTGAGAGGCACGTCTAGGCTCTCCGCTCTCAGAATCTGCCAAAAGTTCATATAACTGGTGGATTGACTTCGGAAACCCGAATTCCCAACCAAAAAAAAACCTTTAAAAAAAAAAAAAGGTTTAAAAAACGCCAAGGAACCAGTCGGCCCTTTTGGCACCCCACGCCAACGGCAGCCCTTGACAGACCCTCCCAGCTCGCATGGATGTCGCCTCCCCGGAGGTGCGCGCCAAGTCCTTGGCGAGCTCCTGGCGATCCAAAGCTCAGCTAAGAGTTCGGATCCTGGATCGCCAGTGACGTTTTCTTTCTTTTTTCATGCGCTCAAAACCCCAAACACCAATCGCAACAGTGGCTGAAAAAAAAGCGATTGCAACTTGGCTATCTAGGTGGGAAACTGAAAAATCTAAGTCTCGCAGTCGTTGTTGGTATTTACGTGGAGGAATCTATTTGGGTGTGTCACTCTTCCTGCAGGCGCAACCCAAAGCGAAAACTGAAAAGCGCCATTTTGCACGTCCGATTCCTGTAAAAAAAAGACATCCCCACGTTCGATTCAAGCACGCAGTTGCAATGACCTTTGCGTCAAGACACCTGCACATTTCTATATAGAGGAGGGCTCACGGTAGGCTTAACCAGAGAATCTGCGCTGTAGGACGGGATTTCTGGGTCCAGTTTAAGACATCCGGGGAAAAATGAACCAAAATCGGTGTGTGTCTTTACATGGGACCCAAAAAAAAAGTAGGTGTCCCTTATTGTCCCTTTAAAGCAACCCCCAAAAGGGCAATTACCCCACTGCCCACTGGTGGGTCCCTTTTACTGGAAAAATATTCCAACCAGGACCGATTCCTGCCATAAAACTGCCAACCGAATGTTCCCCAAACCCCAGCCCACCACAAGCCACAAGCCAGCCCAAGTCTCAAAACCTGACCTTTCGAATGCCCAATGCAGAAAAAAGGTCTGCTCAGGTGTCCCTTGACCCAGAAGTACAAGGGTCAAACCTTTTTGGAGCCACTAGACATGGACCAAATCCCACCTGGCCCAACCTGGATCGCCAGTCGCGATCGACTTTTTTTGTTCCCATGCACTCAAACCCCACAAACGGATCGCAACAGCGACTGAAGAAAAAAAAACGAAAGCGGCCACTCGGCTATCTAGGAACTGCCTGGATAGCCAAGTTGCTGCTTTTTTCAGTCGCTGTTGCTGGTTCTTGGGGGGTAAAGTGGATGGAAAAAAGACAGCGATCGCAACTAGCCATCCAGGCTCATTGGGCACGGACAAGAATGGAGTCCCATCATCTTCCAGATTCCCAGCCCACAGCCAGGGAACTGTCAAAATGTTGGGACTGGGGCCCTTGGAGCTCTCCTCAGGGTCGCTGGGGGTCTTGTCCAGCTTCTGCAGCATGTCAGCCAAGCGCTGCCGCCGCACCTCCTGGAGGAGTCATTCGCTCGGCGGGATTTTTCTTGCCCTGTTTTTGGGGGGCAGCACCGCGCTTCGTCTTTTTGTTCTCCTTTTTTCCTCTGGGGCTAACTTTGTCTTTTCTTCGGTGCTTCTCCACGGGTTTTGTTTGGGGGGGGGGACAGGGAGGGTGAGCAAAAGGGACACGCCAAAAAATGCCACGCGCCCCCAAGACACCGGGAGCTGTAAGGCTCCGATTCGATTGATGTTTGCGCCTTCGAAATGGGGAAAGCTCTTGAGGGCCCTGGAGGAAATGGCCGGGGTTCTCCGTTGAAGGGCGCAAAAAATCGTGCAGTGGAGGAGTCATGACGTTTAGGGAGAAGAGGAAAAAAGAAACAAAACGCCAAAGGGAAACCAATTCACAAGGGTATGAGCTGATTTATCGGAATCCTTGGGTAAACATCACTTGGGTGATTCTTGTTTGGTCCACCAACCCTGTGGGAAACGTATTCCCATGAAAACTGCGGAAGGAGTTGAAACCATAGAAAAACCCAAAGGCCATAGGGTTTCATCTCAAAGCCTCCCGGGTTGGTTTGCGGGGCACCCATTTCAGAGCACATCGTTCACTGCTTAACCCCTCTGTTGCAAGCCACCCTTTCCAGCTCACCCCAAACGGGACCGAGAAAAGAATGCGATGTGGGTCTTCCCCTACCCGAAGCATTTGACCCAACCCACCAACCGAACTCCCGCCCAAACCGACGCCGAAGCCCAAAACCACTCCGGACCTTGCATTGCCAAACCGCACCGAAAACGACTCCGGACTTCGACGAATTCCTTGCTGGTGCGATAAGTGGGGAATGAGAAATGGAATGAACCAGGCTTTGGTCCCTTAAAGAAAACCGCAGTTGGATGTTCATTTCGAGGTCATTCCATTTCTCATTCCCTACTGG